TTCTTCTCAGCACCCCATGGAACTTTCTCTAAAATCGACCCCATACTTGGTCACAAAGCAAATCACAACAGATACAAAACAATTGGAATAACCTCCTGTGTTCTGTCAGATCACCATGGTTTAAAGTTAGATTTCAACAACAACAAAAACCACAGAAAACCTACAATCTCATGGAAACTGAATAATGCTCAACTGAATCACCAATGGGTCAAAAAAGAAGACATGAAAGTCCACTAGTAAGGCAGGATTTCTAGGGAAAGAGAGGAAGTCAGAAACAACTTGATTTAGAGAAAGACACACCAGCAAGACCAAGAAACTTGGAAGTAAAAACAGAATGAATAAAAACCCACATGAGAGAACATAGTTTATTAGAAATCAGGTTAATTTGAATTGTAAGAGCCAGGTGGGAATAAGACTAAGGTAAAGGCCAACCTTTTATAATTAGGTGCTAAAGGACTCAGAAGGGAAGTCTAACTATAAAGTCCAAAAACACATCAAACAATGGTTAAGCTGTAGCTAAGCATGTACACATCAGTGTAGTAACTGTGGATGCATTCAGAAGTGACAAAGATTTCCTGTCAGAAAAAGAATATATTAAATTTGTATGAAATATCGGCTGGGGATTTAGATCAGTGGTAGAGCCCATGCCTAGCAAGCACAAGGCCCTTTGTTCAGTCCTCAGCTCTGAAAAAAAGAGAAATATCATCACTTTTTTTTAATGTAATAAGAGTTTAGAAAAATAGCCCAGGAGAAAATTTGAGCATTTCTGTGTCTGAATTTTGTTGTTTTCAATGTTTTTCCTCTTAGCACTCATAACGTATTGTCTAACAGATTTTACGTTAGTGGTGTTTATGATTCTTCCTTTATTTCTCCGGAACTGTGTCCAGGTGATATATTCAGTCTAACCTATGAGTTCAGGATAGAAATGCAAATCTTCTGTTCAGAGTCCATTCTCCAAATCTCCACCTGAAAGCACTGCAGCTTCAGGGTAGTGTAATAGAGCCATCCCTCTCCCAGGAACTGACAAGAGCAAAACAATCATGAGGAATGTTCTTTCTGCCTTAAATGGGATGGCTTATGCACATCAATCAGTCAATACCCCAAGACATTTTACTAATGATTGCCATAGAATGATGCATAGTCAGTCCCAGACAGAAAGAGCTGCACAGTGGGATCCTTTTTTGGGGGGAAAACTAAAAGAAAAAAAGACTACTAATCTCAGGTTGCATGTGTTTGTACATGCCTTTTATCTTAGCACCTGGGAGGCAGAGGCATGTGAACCTCTGTGAGTTTTAAGCCAGGTGGATCTACAGCAGTACTTTTAGGAGAGCCA